ACCCTGCCTACCACACACTCAGTCCTCACACAGCAGTGGTGGCTCTAACCCAGTTTGGCATAGCCCATCCCCTACCTTGGCCTTTGCCATCCAGCCTGGCCTGGCCTGACTCACTCCCAGTTCCACTCACTGGTGAGTGCTGCAGCCTAGCCCTGCCCCGCCTGCCCCCATCCCTGGCTGTCGTGCAAGCCAGTAGGTGGTGACAGCCTAGTCCAGCATGGCTCATACCCCATCTTAGTTCCTGCACATGCAAGTGTGCTAAGGTTTGGCCTAGCCCTGCCCGGTCTGCACCCCCAGAGCCAACCCACACACCTCTGACAACTTAAGCAGCCCTGCCTGTCCTGACCAAGATCCAGGACTAAATCACATACTCACAAGTGAGAGCTACAACTCACCAGGACAGTTTCTCAAGTTCTCCTACCAGGCCTACTCCCAGAACCAGATCTTACGTGTGACAGCTGGTGCTAGGCCCTCACCCGGCTAAGTCTGCCCCCAGTGTCAGCTTTCACGTGTGCTGGTAGATGTTGTGGCTCAGCCTGCTCCATACCCTATTCTTCGTGCACCTGTAGGTGCTACAGCCTGAACCAGCCTGGCCTGCTCCCAACCCCAGTTCCCATGAGTGTTGGTGAGTTCCACGGTCATGCCTAGTTCAGTCCATCACCACTCCCAACCCTCAAACAAACCAGCTGCTATGGCAGTCTCACAGGGGTGAGCCCACAATCCACCACCAAAGTCTGCTCTCAGCCTCAGTTCTCCTGGTTAGTGTCATGACCCAGCCTGACACGGTCCACCCCCTGCCCTGACACTTACTGGTAGGTACTGTAGTTGAGCCCTACCAGGCAGAACCCCCAGCCATGGCTTTTGTGTGTGCTGGTAGATGATGATTAACACAAACAATCCCAGCTCAGGTTGCCCAGGTGGGTGGGTGTATTGGTTTAGCCCCAAAAGGTTTCCCTCCTCTAAACCACCTGGTCTCAGCCCCCTCATTCACCTGCAAATGCAGTGTCCTGGTTGATGGAAGTCCCCCCATGTCACTCCTCACCTGTCAAATCCTCCCTCAGCAGGCCTCCCTCCCACACATCCCCAGACTCCCTTCTCTAAGCAATTCATATTACCCCATCCCTGTGAGCATGCAGACCCCTAAGCTCCATCAGGCAGTGTGCTGTTCCAGCCTGGGGCCCTGCCTGCCTACCCAGGGTCCACGCAGTCATGCTCGGGCCCCTAGACCCTGTCTATTGGCATGCCAGCATTTGCTCCCTCGACATACCTTAAAAAAAAAAAAAGAATAGGCAATTATGCTGGCATACTGGCATAGTCAACACAAATTTAGCATTAGCCATGCCCATGATGGCCACCAACTGTTTTCTTTTTTTCCCCCCTATCGATTAACACTTGCCTAGGTACAACGCAACGTACACAGTTGCCTGAATCTAGGGCTGCCTACTTTGTTGATGAAAAAAGACATTGCATGCTCTGGTTTCTCTTCAGATTAAATGGGAAAGGAAAGGAAAGGAAAGGAAAGGAAAGGAAAGGAAAGGAAAGGAAAGGAAAGGAAAGGAAAGGAAAGGAGAGGAAAGGAGAGGAAAGGAGAGGAAAGGAAAGGAGAGGAGAGGAGAGGAGAGGAGAGGAGAGGAGAGGAGAGGAGAGGAGAGGAGGAGAGGGGAGGGGAGGGAAGAGGAGGGGAGGGGAGGGGGCACTGTAAGGTGGAGAGTCTGTGCAGCCAGGGGAATCCATCCACCTGCTTTGCGGAAGTGGTGCACTTTGTTGTTTGAGGGTGATTATGTAGGTTTTGAGAAACATGGGAAGGGCTTTTAGAAAACACATATAACAAATAGCACTGGGAGGTGAGGCATGCCTCAGGTCTGAGAGTAACCTATAGTAAGTCTGTGTTTGCTTTATTTTGTTTCCTTACTTTATTATGATGATTATGATCTTTACACAGTTGTCAGGGCGCAAAGGGTCAAGGGCTGCAGGAAAGTGGGTAAGATCATTGTTTCCACATTCTTTTTTTTTTTTTTTTCTTCCTGTATCTGGGAGAAAGGGGGAGATAAAGGGAACAGCCACACCCAACCTCCCAAACTTCCCTGGGTCCCTGATGTGGGGCATGCTCCGAGGGCACTGCTCAAGTGGTTTTGATAGTTCAACAGCTCTGAATTGCTGTGTTGTTTGGTTTTTAATATAAAGATTTATTTAGGGGCTGGCATAATTGCTCAACTGGCTAATCCTCTACAGTACAAGCACTGGGATCCCATATGCAAACCAGTTCATGTCCTGGCTGCTCCACTTCCCATCCAGCTCCCTGCTTGTGGCCTGGAAAAACAGTCGAGGATGGCCCAAAGCCTTGGGACCCTGCACCCACATGGGAGACCCGGAAGAAGCCCCCGGCTCTTGGCTTCAAATTAGTTCAGCTCTAGCTGTCTCTGGCCATTGCGACATATGAAGAGTGAACCAGCAGATGGAAGATCTTTGTCTCTGTCTTTTCTTCTCTGTAAATATGCCTTTCCAAACCCAAAGTGATTTACTTATTTATTTGAAAGCAGTTACAGCCAGGCTGCAACAGCCAAGGCTAAGTAGGCCACATCTGAGAGCCTGGAACTCCCTCTGGATTTTCCTGCATGGCTGATAGGGACCCGACGCCTCAGCACATTTCCCAAATTTCCACAACAGCCAGGCTGAAACCTGAAGCCCAGAACCCAATCCAGGCCGCCTACGTGGTTGGCACTTGAGCCTTCATTTCTGTCTTCCAGAGTGTGCAATCAGCAGGAAGGTGAGTCAGAAGCTGGAGCCAGGATGGAAAACAGGCATTCTGAAACCGGAGATGGGGGTCTTAACACACAGCCCAAAAACCTTTTTTTTTTTTTAAAGATTCATTTATTCATTTTTATTGGAAAGTCAGATACACAGAAAGGAGGAGAGACAGAGAGGAAGATCTTCCGTCCGATGATTCACTCCCTGAGTGGCTGCAACAGCCAGAGCTGGGCCTAAACAAGGATCCAGGAGGTTCCTCTGGGTCTCCCACGCGGGTGCAGGGTCCCAAGGCTTTGGGCCGTCCTCGACTGCTTTCCCAGGCCACAAGCAGGGAGCTGGATGGGAAGCGGGGCCGCTGGGATTAGAACCAGCACCTATATGGGATTCCGGCGTGCGCAAGGTGAGGATTTTAGCCGCTAGGCTACCGTTTGGGTCCCCAAAACCCTATTTTCAGTAGGCTTTTAAACTATTGGCATTATCTGAATAGTGTAGTAAAGAGAAAGGATTCAACAAATTCATTACCTGGAGGTGACATGACAGGAGAACACCAGAGTATACCAGGAGGCAAATGCAGATTTAGGGAGAAAGCAGGAGGGACCCACAGCTTGGGCGTGTTTCTGAGTTTGGCCAGAGGCAGGGTGGTGACAGCTGTGGACTGAGGGCAGGGACAGCAGGTCACTAGAGATCAGTGTGGTGTTCAAGCGTTGGCTGAAAGCCTGTTGTGCTGTCACCTCCTTGTCCTGATGCACCCTAGGTTCAGAGGAGGCAGCTCTGACATGCAACGGCGCCTGGCCCACTCTGGTTGCCAGCAGGCACAGCAGCCTGACAGGTTTCCCTGAGCAGCAGGTGCCTCCTCTTTACCTCCTGACACCTGCAGCTGTGCTCTGGCAGCTCAGCATGCCCCTCCTATCATCCCTCGCTCTTCAGAGGCTGCCTTGGGCCAGGCCTAGACGCCCCTCCACCCAGCATACAGAATCATTGCTATACTTCTGTCTGGAAAAACAACTGCATCTACAAACCTAGAATTCTTCCCAAAGGCCAGCCAAGGGCAATTTAGACATCTCTGCTCTGATGTGGATCCACCTTACACCCACACAGCTGTGGCAGGCAGGCTGGAGTGGGCTCGAGATGGTAACAGCAAGCCTGAGACCACCCCCTACCCTGGCCCCAGGCCCTGACACTCCCCTTCTCACTTCTCTGCCATGAGCATCCGCTTGTCTGGATTCCAAGTGTGCACTCCGTTGACACCCAAACTTTGCAAAAACCTCCGGCATGCACTGGCCATGAAAGCAGAGCTAGCAGTAGTGTGGAGTTCAAAAAGGGTTCCTCAGCTGTGGTGCCTACATGCCTTGTTTGGGGAGCTACTTTACACCACCCCCAACACCCATGTTCCGAAGCCCTTCAGGAAGGAAAGCTGTTAACCCTCCCCCAAGCCCCACCCACAAGTGCCTTCTTCAGGCTGCACCCCCAGAGTTATTAGGGAGCTCCTTTCCCACCCTCCCAGTGACAGCCCACAATACCGGACCCACCCAGACCCTGCCATCAAGGTGAGAGGCCAGGACCAGGCAGATGCACAGGCTAGACTGAGGAGCCAGGATTTCTGTGGAACAAGAGCGGGTCCTCACAAAGCCTGGGTGCCCTGCGGAGCCCCTGTAGACAGAGACAGGGTATGCACGGCCCATCCCTGCAGGATGTGGAGGTGTAAGCTCTGGAGCAGGTGGGCACCAAGACGGCAAGGTGGCTTCGGTGGCTGACAGACACAAGCAGCCCCTGTGAGGGGGTCCCAATGTCCCTGCTGAGCTGGGAGTGAGGCATGCGCTTGGGCCGGGTCCCCTTCCTCCCTGTCTCTGGAGATGAACGCAGACGCTTTTCCAAGGAGCTCCCAGAAGCCTCCCCTTTATTAGCCCACCTGTCAGTCAAAATGTCTGGCTGTGTCAAGGCAGCAGTTAAGGCAGTGCCCCAGCCCCTTCCCTTCACAGGCTGGGCAAGCAAGCAGATCATTATATTACAATTTATAAATAGAAAATAAAATAAAACTATTGGGTGGGGCTAAAGCCCTGGGCACCAAGAGATCTGCCATCAACAACAGCTACCCAGGGATCACTTCTCTCAGTTCTGTCACCCCTTAAACAGGCAGTCCCCACAGCCCTCCTGCCCCTCTGGTCCTCCCCAGTAGCCTCTCCCTTCCACTTCACCCCCAGGTCTCGGCCAGCAGCCCCCACCCCAGCCCCAGCTGGGTCCGGCTGGGGCGCTCAGCCCAGCAGCTCCTCAGCCAGGCGGTAGAGGAGCCGAGAGTACCAGTGCATGCCGGTGGGCTGCACGGTGCCACCCGGGAACAGCGCCCCTAGCGCATGCAGCAGGCGCAAAGGGGCAAAGGCGCGGTGTGCCCACTGGTGACTCTCCAGAACCGCGTAGCACGAGGCCAGGACGTCGTTCACCAGCAGCGTCCCATGCGCCGTCAGCGGCGCGAACACGCCCACGGCTTCCTCGCGCGCCACGCGGGCCACGCGCGCCGGCCGCAGGGCGTCCCCGCCGGGCGCCAGCACCGAGTCTCCCGCGCGCAGCCGGCGCGCGAACACGGGGGCGAAGTCCCCTGGCGCGGGCGCTGGCCCGCGAGCCGCGAACACCAGGTGCCAGGGCGTGAGCAGCAGTTTGCGCGGGGGGCGCTCGGTCTCCACAGCCACGAACCAGGCCCGGCGCTGCAGGTCCCGGTCCAGGAAGAGCAGCACCGGCGTGGGCACCACCCGGCCTGCCGCGTCGGCTGCCAACACCCAGTCTCCGCCGTGCAGCTCTCTGAGGCCCTTCCGCTCGCCGCTCTGCAGGCGCACGGTGGCGTTTCCCGGAAAGCAGCCGCCTGCCCGCACGGCCAGGGAGTTATCTGCGGGGCCACAAGCGCAGGAAGCACGGAGTCAACACCGGGGGCGGGGGCGGGGCGGAGAGGAGGGCGCGGTTTGTAGACTCAGTTTCCCCAAGGGGCCCCTCCCGGCCCTACCCACTACCATACCGGCTTTGACCGACACGTGGACGTGGTTGCGGGATTCGTAGTAGACCCAGTCGAAGCCGGCTTCCACGGCCAAGCGCGCCAGCAGGCCGTACTTGTTGCGGTCGCGGTCGGAGGTGGTGATGTCCAGTGCCCGGCCTTCGTAGTGCAGCGAGTCTAGCGAGTGGTGGCCGTCCTCGTCCCAGCCCTCGGTCACCCGGAGGCGCACTCCGGGCCACATATTCATCACTGCTATAGCGAGCGCGTTCACACGCTCCTTGCAGCGCTGGCGGAGAGCGCACAAGTTAGTCTCCCCTCTGTATCCTTTTTGGGGGTAAGGGGAACCGGGTAGGTGGGTCGACCCTCCCCCACATCCTCCCAGCGGGTTTGGAGGAGGGGGCGTCCTGAGTAGAAGGAGAATCTGAGCAGATGCAGTCGCCAAGTGGTACTCCCTCCCCCAAGGCTTCCTAGAGGAACCCTGGGTGGGGTCGCCTACTAGGGTGAAGACCCCCACCCACTTCCCCCGCTCTTTAAAGCCTGCCCCTCCTCCCCCTTACACCGCATAGCTAAACCTGGAAGGGAGGAAGGGTGGTGGGAGCTGGGTGAGGGAGGGCTGGGCTGCACCACAGAAGCCCCTGAGCCAGCCTGGCCCCTGCCCCAGGCCCCGGCTGCCCTCCCTCCGCCTGATTCATCTTTTGTTTCATGGCCTTCCCTGGCACTGGGCATCGCTTCCTTCCTTCCTTCCTCCTCCTCCTCCTCTTTGCAGTTCCCAACATTAACCCCTTCCTTATCTGGGTGCCCCCCACAGAGGTGCCCAAAGGAGCGAGTCTCGGGGCTGCTGGAAAAAGAGCTGGGTGGCGGGGGCTGTCCCCAAGTACAATGCCCATTCTCCAGGATGACTTAACTGAGCGAGAATCCCGGGGCCAGGGCCGAGGACGCGCAGCGAGGAGCAGACTCAGCAGCTCGAACCACAAAGGCGCTTTTCAGCAGCCACCGCGGCTCCGGGAGAGGAAAGGGCAGAAAGCCGCGCCCCCCCATCTCCGCTAGGCCCCCTCCCCCAGCAAGGCCAGGCATCCCAGCTCCTGCTCTAGGATCTTAGCCAGCCCCCAGGAGTCCCCTTTGCTCTCCCATCTCTGCCAGGGTCTGTTCCAGAGGCAGCCCAGGAGGGCGTGGGAGCAGCACCTGAGAATGCTGGGAGCTGCCCCGGAGGCAGCTCATCTGGGGGGGGGACCCCTGCAGGGTGGGGGTGGAGGGGAGATTGGGAAAGCCACTGGCTGCGAGGGAGTGCAAGCGGAGTTATCTCTGGCTGGGCTAGTCTGGGAGCTGGAGACCTTGATGCCCTCCCAGACAGCCTAGGAGGAGGCGCCGAGAGACCCTCTTCTTCTCCAAGTGGCGCCCTCCTGGCCTGGACAGCCCAGGAAGGGGCCAGGAGAGACCCGCTCCTTCTCTCCCTGCTCAATCTGAGCTTTCGCCGGCGGGTTTGATATCCTAACTGCCAGAGGCTGGCTCTCCTTGCCTGCACACCCAGCCTTGCCCCCCCCCCCCATGGCTTCACCTCCATAAAACTTAGGGGTGGAGGGAGGGCGGGGTGGGGGTGGGGGGCTATGAACAGCTAAGTGGTAACTGCCTCCAACTTCTCGTCCTTCTTGTCCATCCCTGAGGAGGCCCAGGGCCCTGACCTGCGGGGGCAGCAGCCCAGTGCAGAGCCCAGTCAATGGAGGCCTTTTGCAGCAGCGGTGTGGGAGATAAACAGGGACCCAGGGGGTTCCCAGGGCAGGCTCGTTGCGCCCTCCCCCACCAAGGGCCACAGGTGCAGCCCTTGCAAAGAGCTACTGTGGCCCTGACTGAGGGGGCGAAGGGGAATGTCCCCCTCCTGATCTCTGGGTAGGGGTGAGAGAATGGGTTCTCTCCTGGACAGGTTTTCCTGACAAAGAAAGTAACCTGGAAAACTGGAAACGAATCAGAGGAAATCCGTGCCCCTCCCTCTCCCCCCTCTTCCTCACCCCATACACAATTAGGTGGTGTAATGGAAAGTGTATAGGACTTAGAGTCGGCAGCCCTGGATTCTGCCTCCACTCCTGCCACTCATCAGCTAGGAGACTCTGATTAAATTGCTTTTCCTCCTGGGGCCCAGCTCCAGCATGGGGAGGGGTGGAAGGGAAATGAGCCCATCTCGCCTTCCAGTGCTGACATACACACGCACCTGCCTCCTTTGCCCAGGGGTCACTCCCCTCAGCCAAGTCTGTAGAAGATCCTCTAGCATGGCAGTTTCTCTCACTCGCTAATTCTGAAGTGACCCTGTGAGCTACACCAGGTCCTTGGGGACACTCAGGATCCCTTCCCCCCAGGTGGCCCCATCTGTCCTTCTCAGTCATGACTCAGAATAGGCCTGCCCTGGGTCCAGCCCCCAGGAGAACTCCCACCCACCCCACACTGCCCAGGTAGGTGGCCTGCTGACCTGACCCTGGACTCCCTTTCTCCAGCCCCCCTTGGGTCTCTCTGACTCCAGGGCTTTTGCAGTCAGGTCAGGAGTCAGGCTGAGACCTTCTGTCTGCTGCCTACCCGGCTGCTGGCCCCCAGCTCACCCCAGCCCTTCCTGCCTGGCTGGGTGGCTGACCCCCGGTCCACGCCTCAGCCATTTCCCGTCTCGCCTGCCGCCATCCTCCTTTCCCCGCCCTTGCTGCCTCTCCCAGCTTCACTCTCACTAGTCGGACCTCCTCCTGCTCCTCTCCATCGAAACCTTTCCGAGTGGGGACCCCCCCAAACACTGGATCCAGTCCGCAGGCAGGGTTTTGGGTGGGGGGTGGAGGGCCAAGGGGGAGGGCTTTGGGAGTCAGGTCCGTGGCTGCAGCCCGGCTCAGCCTTCCCTAGTCCGCGCGCAGGTGGGGGGAGAGCTGCTCCTTACCTCGGTCATCAGGCGGTCTGCACCACTATTCTCCTCATCCTTGAAGATGATGTCGGGGTTGTAATTGGGCACAAGGTCCCGAAAGCGCTCGGAACCCCTGGCCACCCTCCCCTCAGCCGGCCCACTGGCGCCCAAGGTCCGCTCAGGCACGTTGGGCACAAACTGCTTATAGAGGAGCGGTACGAGCTGCTTGCGCACGTAGCGGCGCCGACCCACGGGGCCCCGGCCCGGCCCGCAGCTCTGGGCCGGGAGCGCCAGAAGCGCCAAGCAGCATAAAGGCAGTAAGCTGGCCGGCAGTGCCATGGATGCAGCGGACGCGGGCCCAAAGGGAACTTTTCTGTCCTCACCGGCTCGCCTGTCAGTTGGGCATCTCCGCAGGCACCAGAGGTGCCCCCCAGAGTGCTCTAGAGCCCTAGTGACTCTGCGTACCTGGCCACCGCTAGCTCTGCCCACATGCCACTGGGGCGGGGTGGGGGAGTGGGGGCCTGCAACCTGCTACGGATAGACCGACATAGCAGGGAAGGGGGGTCGTGGGTGAATGCCAGCCCAGTCGGCCTCCGCTGCTGCCCGGCTCCGCTGCTAGAACGCCTGGGACTCCGCCTTAAGTGGCCCCTGGCCCCGCCCCCTGCCTTTCTCCCAGGACCGGCCCGCCCCATCCCACCCGGGCGGGGGATCTAGCCCGTCACCAAAGGTCCATTCTATCACTGTAGTGTGCCCCGTCCTGGAACCCAGACACCTGCCTAGGAAATCCTAGCAGCTTTACAGTCCCCAGCTGCCTGGGTAACTAACCGGCCTTCTACCTCCAAGCCTAAATTTGGAACCAAACGCTCCTCTTGATACTTGAATTGTATAAAGCAAAGGCTTGACCAAAGCCTCCCTTGGCGACCATGCCTTCTGCTGTCCTCCAGGAAGTACAGGGTCCAATTTCTGCCCCCAAGGCCAGCAAAGCCCTTTGGGCACCAGCCCAAGGCCTCCCTTCTCCATGGTCCTCCCTGATCTCCTGGCACTCAGTGGTAAGCAGCAGTAGGCAGCCTGGGGGCCAGGGCACTGGTTTCCCCCCTAGGTCACAGTTCTGCATGGAAGCTGCCCCAGCACCAAGGACAACAGTTTGGTACTTAAAGGCTGCTTCAGGACTCCCTACCTGTGGCCTGCCATCCTTGCCAGGCCTCCAACAGCTGCTGCTTTTCAAACAGCTTGTCTGCTGGAAGTCATGGGAGGGCAGCCCATGACTGTCGCCCATGAAAGTCAGCCAACAAGTGCCCTCAGCTTCCCGCCGAGCCCCTCTCTGGCCTCCTTGGAGCCCCGTTCCAGCCCCTCGGGTCTGTGATTTCAATTACTCTTCACCCCCCAGTTTCTACCTTTTAGAAATCATGTCCTCTTAGCAGGCGTCCTCGTGGTCCCACATTGACCAGCTGTGTTCCTATTCAGCAATTATCTTGTCCCCTTACTAGACAAAGCAATGCTTCAGCACTCGCTTGTTTATCGTGTGTCTGCAAGGCTAAGCCTGGAGGTTGCAGTTGGGTGCCTGGCAAGCATCTGTGGAATCTACACTGTGTTGCACTTCACGTTCAGCCTCCACTCACCCAGCCCCAAGGCTAGCATTCCCCGCAGCCCTCCCTCCAGACGCTGACCAAGATTCTCCCAGCAGCTGCAAACGCAATGACTGTGAGACAGGTGCTCCCGGGGGGCTTTGCAGGAAGACGTCCTCACACTCAATACACTGAGGGAACCACTGAAGGAAATGGCAGCTCCTTGCAAGATGATATCGTGGTGGTCTTTGGTATAGGAACCAAACTCCCTGCTCAGCCAGCCACTTCTGCTCTCCATAGCCAAGACAAGGGAGGCCAAGGCTGAAGACATCTCTTGTTTAAAGATTTATTTTTATTGGAAAGTCAGATATACAGAGAGGAGAGGAGACTGAGAAAAAGATCTTCTGTCCATTGATTCATCCCCATGAGGCCACAATGGCTGAAGCTGAGCTGATCCAAAGCCAGTAGCCAGGTGCTTCTTCTGGGTCTCCCACGCGGGTGCAGGGCCCCAAGGCTTTGAACCGTCCTCGACTGCTTTCCCAGGCCACAAGCAGGGAGCTGGATGGGAAGTGGTGCTGCCAGGATTAGAACTGGCGCCCAATTGAGATCCAGTTGCATGCAAGGCGAGGACTTTAGCCAATAGGCTACTGTGCTGGGCCCAAGGCTGAAGACATTTTATCCCTACGTCCATGACTTCCAGTGAGGGAGGCAGAGATCCAGGCAGCTTCAAGGAAGGTTAAGGGAGGAGCTTCCTCCAGCTAAATCATGTAGATTAGGGGTTGGTGCTATGGCATCATGGGTAAAGCCACATCCTGTGATGTTGGCATCCGTATGGCTGCTGGTTCAAGTCCTGGATGCTCCAGTGCCAGCTCCCTGCCAATATACTTGGGGGTAAGGCAGTGGAAGATAGCAAAGGTATGGGTGGGGGATCCAGAAGCTCCTTGCTTCAGCTTGGCTCTGCTTTGGCGATTGTGGCCAACTGGGGAAGTGAACCAGCTCTGACTTATAAATAATGTTTAAAAAAAAATAGATGTGCAGATACAATGCAGTATGCATCCCTACTTCTAAGTCAAAGATGGACTCCCGGTGAAACTGTTAGACATATCTAGACAATGAGATGCTGGACTGTCTGACATTGTACCAGCAATGTCGGGGCCACTTAAGTAACAGACTGATGGGCCCAGCACGGTGGCACAGTGGTTAAGGTCCTCGCCTTGCACGCCCAGGATCCCACATGGGCGCCGGTTCTAATCCCAGTGGCCCCGCTTCCCTTCCAGCTCCCTGCCTGTGGCCGGGAAAAGCAGTCAAGGACGGCCCAAAGCCTTGGGACCCTGCACCCGTGTGGGAGACCTGGAAGAGTCTCCTGGCTTCGGATCGGCATAGTATCGGCCGTTGTGCTCACTTGGGGAGTGAATCATCGGACGGAGGATCTTCCTCTCTGTCTCTCCTCTCTGTATATTCGCCTTTCCAATAAAAAAAATAATAATAATAAAAAATAAATCTTTTTTAAAAAATTGATGACCTCCTTTAAAAAAAAAATCATGCAGTTTAACACTTGATCTAAGGGCCCCCCAAAGACACCAAGAATGCGGATGGAGAGGCAGGACAAGGGCGGTGGGCAAGAGGCCCAGGAGTGCTGGGAACAAGGTTATCCAAGTAGACACAGGGAAAAGCAACCTAACAACAACAACAAAATCAGACAGAAGCAGACCCTGGGACGGGCTTTATTGCTGATGAGTGTAGCTTCTTCATGCCTACGCCCTCAGGATAGCACAGTGCTCAGGCTCAGCTGGGCCAGAGGCCAGGGGGTCACCCTGTTTCCCCCCCCCCCCCGCCTCCCCTCCCCACCCTATTGCACATCAAGTCATGTAAACATGGCGACAGGCATGGCCCGGGATAGCTGTGAGGCAGATTGACGTGTAAACGGATTTGGGACCAGGAGGCAGGCCCGATCACCCAGCCCCAGCCGAGACCACAGTTAAGTCTGGAAAAGCAGGGCACTGGTCCCAAACGCTGGCTCAGGTCATGCAACAGTGCAGATGGCTCAGTCCCCCTCGCGGCTCCAGGCCCCAAGGTCGCTGCACCCCTGGGACTCCCTCTGGGCCTCGGCAGCAAATGGCAGTGTCCGGTTTGCTCTCTCCCAACCCTAGCTGGAGGTCACTGGTGCTGGCTCTTCCTAGATGCCCGGGGGAAGCCGGAAACGGGCAACGGCAATCTATCCAACCCTGGAGAAGAAGCGGGGGAGGTGGGCAGTCAAAGCCAGGGCAGGCAGCCAGCCCCTCAAGGGCAAGACAACCAAGCCGCGGAACGGGTGGACCAGGCAGACAACAAACAAAGCAGGAAGCACAGCCTGCCCTATTGAGATGACCAGCACCCCTCAGCTGAACCCCACCCCAGCCGCTTACAACCCCACTCCCTCTCACCAAAGGCTCGGATGAGCTCTGCCCGCACAGCGGCGGTGAAGGTCTTCACCAGACACAGTGTGCTAAGGCCGGCGAAGGCTGCGTTGTAGAGGAACACGATGTAGAAATTTCCCAGCCAGTTGAAGCGGCCAAAGTCACCCAGCAGGTCGAAGCGGGTGAGTCCTGAAGCACACACGGAGGGTGGCAGGTGGGCCTCCCCAGCCCCTCTCCTAGTAGGAACCCAACTTCCTGATGCCTCCTGGTGGCCAAATCTCAGCACTGCAGCTCTCCAGGACCAGCAGCTAGGCCTGCTCACCTCGTCCTAGACCTGACAACTTTTCCTTGCAGCTCCAGCCTTTTTTTTTTTTTTTAAGATTTGTTTATTTGTATGGGAAAGGCAGGTTCACAGAGTCAAGTAGACACAAAGAACAATATCTTCCATCTGCTGGTTTACTCCCCAGACGGACACAACAGCAGGAACTGAGCTGCTCCAAAACCAGGAGTCAGGAGCTTCTTCTAGGTCTCCCATGTGGGTACAGGGTCCCAAGGCTTTGGGTTGTCCTCTGCTGCTCTCCCAGGCCACAAGCAGGGAGCTGGATGGGAAGTGGAGCATCTGGGACTCAAACCGATGCTTCCAACCACTGCGTCACACACCGGGCCAGGGCCTCTATATCTACATGGGAGACACAGAGCAAACTCCTGGCTCCTGGCTTTGGTCTGACTCAGCCAGAGCTGTTGTGGCCACTTGGAGGGGAATGAACCAACAGATGGAAGTATTCTACCTTTCCCGCTGCCCTTCAAATAAACAAATCTTAGTAAATAAAAATAAACTGACTTGTCCTTAAAATAGCTAAGTTTAGCCCTATCAACTACCTTCCTTCTTTCTGTTCTTTCGGAGGGGAACATTAGCAGACCCACCCAGAAGGAAGATTGGGTGAAAACCCTGCTCCCCACCAAAAGCAAGTCAATGGGGATGGCAGCTGAGCCACGGGGAGCAGGCGTCCAGTGAAGCTGCCTGTAACCCCATCAGAGGGCCTGGAGGTTCAATTCCCGGCTCTGGCTTCCATCCAGGCACATCTTGGGAGGCAGCATCACCAACTGTTGTGCGAACCCGGACCAGGCTCTTCCCGTCTCCTGACCTCTAGGGGTTGTAGGGATTTAAAGAGTGAATCATTGGCTGGGTGCGCGCTCTGTTGCTTCTCAAAAACAAAACAAAACAATGTATGAGTTTTGAAGCAACACTGTTCTGAGACTCAGCCATAGGCACTTTATAGGGACTCAGCTTACCCATCTATATAATGGGTAACACTACCAGTTTGGTGTTGGGGTGGAGACAGCACACACACACACACGTGTATGTATACACACATGACCACTTACTACCTGTAGATCCTTTAAAAAATAAAAGCCAATTCCTTAATCCCCTTGTGTTATCTTGCTACTTACCCAGAGTCCGAGAAAAGACAGGGAGTGCTGAGCTTAGCACCAGGAGACACACGCAGTTCCCAATGATCTGGCGAGGGAGGAGAGGCCAGGTGGAGGCAGTGGCACAGCTGAAGTGCCTGTCACCCACCCATGCCCCCAGGGAGCTCCCCCTACCTGAGTCATGGCTGTGTCGTGCCACCTGGGCCTCAGGCCCCGGAAGAGTGGAGAGGTATAGAAGCCCACGACAGAGGACACCATCAGGTAACTGAGGCTGGATGAAGGCAGAAGCCGGCAACTTCCAGGAGGAAGGTCTCCCTCCCAGCCCTCCTCTTTCTGAACGCGATGTCAGAGAGGCCTGGGCTCCCTTCCCCATCCCCAGCCCCAGAGCCACGCTGTACGGAGCCCAGCAGCCAGGCTTGGTGAGTGGAGGCAGCAGTGGGTTTGCAAAGGATACAAGATGAGGACGACCTGGATGACGGCACCAAAGCAGCCCAGCTTGGAGAAGGACACCTGGCCCAGGGAGGCATCCTGAAGGGGTGGAGGGGGCAGCGTAAGCGTTGGCGTCTCCCCACCCCCAGCCTTCTCCCTGCCATCCTGAGGAGGATGGGGTACGAGTACCTGCATGCCCCGCGGCATGGCGGCCTCATCGATGAGCAGCTCCAGGATGTGGAAGGCCACGGTGAGCACAGACAGGCCCTGGGAGATGCAAGGTCGAGAGTCCAGGACAGCCCAGCCCTGGCTCCACCCTGACCCTTGGCAGTAGGTCGAACCTGCATCACACCTTCACTCTCCAGCTCAGAAGGCCTCAAGGCCGGTGCTAGGCACAGAGCCCCTCTGAGCAGCTCACAGGTACAGCCCCTCAGCCAGAAGGACCACTCCAAAGCTGGCTGGGAACAGGGGCACCTCCTTACAACGCACAAACCAGGGGCAGAATGCATTCCCATCTGTCCTGTCACAGTCCACCACAGGTTGGCACCTTAAGACTTTTGGAAAGTTACTTACTCTCCGTTTCTTCACCTTTAAAATAGGAACTAGGGTGGGCGCTGTGGTGCAGTGGGCTAAGTCACTGCTTGAGACACCTGGGTCCCATATTGGAGCCCCACACTGTCTGCTTCTAGTCAGCTTCCTACTAAAGCATTCCTGGAGGCACAGGTGACAGCTAAACATGCCCAGGTCCCTGACGTCCATATGGGAGAGTCAGATGGTGCTACGGGCTTCCAGCTGTAGCCTGGCCCAGCTCTGACAGCTGTGGGTGTTACGGGGAGTGAACCGCTGATTTGAAGATCTCTCCCAGCTTGTCCCTCCTTCTGCCTTTTAATTTTCTTTAAAAAGAGTGACAGAAGAGACACAGACAAAGGGAGAGTCACGGGTGGTTGCAATAGTCAGGACTGAACCAAGCCTAAACCAGAAGCCAAGAGCTTCTTTCAGGTCTCCCACGTGCTTGGCATAGTGCCCAACACTTGGGTGACCTCAACTGATTTTTCCAGGCCATCAGCAGGGCACTCAATCTAAGAAAAACAGCCAGCAGACAAAATGGTGCCCAAATGGGATGCTAGCATTGCAAGTGGCAGCTTTACCCACTATGCCAGCCCCTCACTCTATCTTTTAATTAGATAAAAGCAAATAAAAAATAAGAAATATCTAATAAACAAACATGAAAAAGTATTCAGTACGAGACAAGACTTGAGGCAGGCCCTAAGTGGGAGGGAGGCAGCCACTATCACGGATAAATGGGGACCTGCATCTCCTCCCTGAGACAGCCTCATGGGCCTGCTCGCCTCCCTGCGTACGGCTGTTCCACTCACCGTCAGCACCAGCAGGCACAGCATGGCCAGTGGGTAGCCCAGGTTCCGCTGCCAGGCTGAAGCCTTCCTCCGCTTCTCTGTTTACAAGTGGGAAGCTGTCTGGTGAGCAAGCACATGGAACAAGCAAGCAGGACCCTTTCCTCGGGCAAAGTCAGGCCCGCCACATCCTCTCAAGCCACATACCCAGCAGGATCCTCTGTGTCTGCAGAGCCAGGACCTGTCTGTGCAGCAGCTCCATGTCCAGAGGCAACCAGCAAGAGGTGGGATCTGAGGGCAGCAAACACGACACTGCCCTCTGGTCCCATGGCACTGCCCAGGGCCAGGCCCTTGCCACCCCAGCTGAGGACAGCTGCAACTCACTGCAGATCCTATGGGTCAGAGCTGCTTCCTCGAAGGCTGAACAGTACAGCTGCTCTTCCAGGTCTTCCAGCAGCTGGGGACAGAGGGCAGGGAAGGGCCAAACGTCAGGAGCTCCTTCATCCCAGGGCAGCATGGCACCACAACTTCCCCAAGCTGCAGCTAACGCCTTGTGGCCAGCAGCTCTGGGAACCCCGTCACCTGGCATCCTGCCCTCAGTGTCTGGGGCCCAGCTCCATGTGGCAGGAGCCCATGGAGGCTGTGGCCCCTAGCCAGCTGCAGCTTGGCGGAAGGCTCCCTCTGTCGGGCAAGAGGGTGAGGAGCACATACCCTGGGCTTGACCAGCAGCTTCCCGGTCACGGAGAACATGCGGGCGAGACCCAGCGGAGTACACACTGCGGGGATAAAGAGCCTAGTACCACTCCCTTCTCTCCCCCTAATTCCTGCTCTGTTCCTTCCTCCTCACAGGTCCCCGAAACCCTCAGACTGTGTGCACTCACCCAGAAGCAGCAGGACCCCGAGGAAGGAGATGCAGGAGTAGAGGTAGGGGAGATAATACTCCCAGAAGTCTAAGGGTGAAAGAGGCACAATGGGGTGGACCATGGGGTACAGCAGGTCAAGCCCACATCCCACATCTGAGTGCCAAGCCAAATTTCTGATCCCTCCATGTGCTTCTGTGCCTAGTAAGGTAGCAGAAGATGCCTCCAGGCCCACTGGGATGGCTCAATTTGCTATCCTTCCCCTCGCAAGTGCCGGTATCCCATATGGTGCCAGTTTATATCTCAGCTATTCCACTTCCCTTCCAGCTCCCTGCTTGTGGCCTGGGAAAGCAGTGGAGGACAGCCCAAAGCCTTGGCACCCTGCACCCATGTGGGAGACCCAGAAGGAGCTCCTGGTTCCTGGCTTTCGATTGGCTCAGCTCTGGCCACTGCTGCCACTTAGGGAGTGAACCAACCAATGGAAGATCCTTCTCTCTGTCTCTCCTCCTCTCTGTAAATCTGCCTTTCCAATAATGAATAAATAAATAAGATGATGGTCCAAGTACTAGGGCTGTTACCCACATGGAGACCAGGACGGAGTTCCAGGCTCCTGGTTTCAGCCTGGTCTAGACGTGACCTTTGCACCCATTTGCAGAGTGACCATCAGACAGAAGTTCCCTCTGTCTCCCTGTCACTCTGTACTAATTTTGCAGACACCTCTTACTGCTAATATAGGGAGTCAAGAAGTACATAAAGATCTTCCTTTCCACAGGACAGGCTGGTGCCCCTAACTGCTGCGTTCCCCAAAGGTCAGCTGTCGTGTTAACCCATCGCAGGGATCAGATGGAACGAGGCTGAAGGGTGGATCTGGCCAGGCATCCATCAGCTGGAATCTCTTGGCATCAGGAAGAGGGTGCCAACATGTGCCTTCCCTGGCCAGGGAACAGTGGCCGTATAAAGAGCTGTCCGTTTGGGAGCTGAAGAAGCCAGGAGTCTCACCGTAGAGCGACTCTCTGCTGGTCTTGTTGTCCACAATGGCCGATGCCACCCACACCATGCCCAACACCAGCAGAGTGAGCAGTAACAGCATCACCACCGTCTCGTAGACCCGGCCCAGGACGCCCTGCAGGAAGAGGTGGAGAGGGCAGTGATGGGACCATGAGGGGAAGTGAGGAGAGGAGAGGAGAGGCTGGTGGTGCCAGAGGCATGGATTCAGGAGACAGGGAGTTCCCTCCCACCTCCCACTCCAGTGTCACACTATCCACCCGCTATTCTTCCTTTGCAACCTCCCCCAGGTCCCTTCAAACTCTTTCTTGGCCGTGGGGGGGCTGACCTCTGGGGGCCCCATCACACCAAGCTCTCTGCCCTCTGGTATTCTGTCCAGCTGGCCCCAAGAAAGACCAGCAGGAGACAATAAGGAAGAAGAGCAATCAGCCCCGTGTTTCTCGCCACCATGGTTTTGGCAGTGGCCAGGACACTACAACAAAAACAAAGATTCTGTGGGTCCCGGAATTGACTTTCCTGCCTTATCCATGCAGGCGAAGGGCGGTAAGGAGCTCCAGCTGTTGTCTTGGCCTCCAACTCCTTGTTGAGGGGTGATGCAGCAATACCCAATCCCATGCTCGCACCCCATATCACGGCACCAATTCGAGTCATGGCTACCCTGTTTCCCATTTCGCTCCCTGCTACTGTGCCTGGGCAGCAGCAGCAACTCAAGGCCCAGGTAAAGAAGTTTCCAGCTCCTGGCTTTAGCCTGGCACAGCCCTCGATATTGCAACTCTTTTGGGAGTGAACGAGAGGAAGGAAGAGCTGTTGCTCTGCCATTCTAATTTAAAACAAAACACACAACAAGAAAAAGTGTTTGTTGGTTCCCATGATTCTGACTAACCCTCTGCCAACAGTCCATTAGGATCCCTTTAGTGGAAGCATTTGAGTGGAATTCTGTCTGCTGCCTCACCGACTGACTGGTCCTCCTACTCACCTTTCTGGAGCCAGCAAAGCCCTCAGACTCAGTGAAGAAGTATGCGAAGGGCATGAGGAAGATGAGGGACAAATTGGAGAAGAGAAAAACCAGGTTCCAGAGGCCTAGGGGAAAAGGAGAAGTTGAAGTGTTGGGAGCATGGGGCACAGCTCACAGGGGGCTGACCCTGCAGTGGGCAGGCAGTGCCTGTGGAGCCCCTGCTCCCCAGCCGGAGCCACAGCCACGAGCCACGAGCCACGCACCATGGATGAGGGAGCCATTGAGCCACTGGATGTAGTAGTTCCGAGGGAGGGACAGCAGCACCTCGTTGCTGATGATGGAGAAGGGCAGGAGAAGGACAGCGCCCAGTGCGACCGCCAGGGTGAAGGTGCACAACTCGAGCCTGGGCAGAGAAGGGCCAAATGGCTTGGCTGGCACAGGGACTCACTGCCCCATGTTGTCCCCGAGGGCATTTGTAACTTCCAGAACCAATAACACATCACAGCCAGAGGCTCTACCCACTGTTGCCCCTCCCTCGCCCTTGAGCTCTGGGGAAACGCTGGTGCACGTGATGCGTCCCACCTTGGCACCCAGGGAACCAGGCTACCTGGCCACCAAGCCCCAGGAACGAGGCCTTGCTCTCCAGGTTTAACAGATTGCACCAGGCACAATGCCAAAGCTCAGGGGTGTGACCTTTCTGCTCAGGGATACAGATTCCTGGGCTGGCTTCTTTCTAGCCAGGGTAAGAGTGGGGTCACCCCCACGCGGCTGTGCTAGGGCAAGTGAGTCCGGGTGTCACAGCCCAGGCCTGTGGCCTGACTGCACACCCCCTGCCATCCGGCTGGTCTGTCAGGGAGAAGAGCTGCCGTCTAAGCTCTGTCCCAGAGGGGCCATCTGTTTGCTCCTCTCTGTGCACACCAACATTTGATTCATAATGCTCCGGTCCTTGGCTGACTCGGGCGTTTCCCATCTTCCCCATACCCCAAGTCCATTCCCACGATCACGCAGCACACTCAACTCCCTCCCACTGGCTGCCAGGAGGTGAAGCCAAGCTGGAGCCATTTCCGGTGAGTCAGGCCCCGGGCCCTAGGTCCCTGGCAGTAAGGCTCCCGAAAGATCCTGGCCTAACAAGGGAGACAGGAACGGCAGCTTTCCCTGGGCGTCCCCAGGGTGGGGCAGAGCTGCCAGCAGCCAGCCACAGGGTGGGAGCGAACACTGCCTCCTCCTTGTGTGGGACCCTCCTCCTCCTTCCACTCTATCCTCCCTAGCCCCTGCTCCTGCAGACTACCTGGTGACAGGGACACTTACGCAATCTTGTTAACTGTGGCATCTTCGTCGTCCACTGTAAAGGAGAGAAAATAGGGGAGAGGCAAGGCATCAACGGGCAGCCCTGGGAGTCAAGTGTGTTCAAATGTGGCCCCTCCCTCTCCCACTCGCCGAAAAGAGGCCGTCCCGGGAGGCCTTACACTGCAGTCCCCACGGGGTGTTCTCAGGCAAGGTGGCAACTTCAACATGAGTGGGCCCAGGGGAGGAGAACGTGAGCAGGACATTTCCCTGCTTTTCCCCTCATCCCCCATCTCAAATTCCTCTCTGTGAGGCTGCTGGGTGGATGGGGAGAAGATTGAGGGAAAGCGTGCTGGGGGTGGTGGGTAGCTGCCTTGGTGGGGAGGCAGGGAGGCTCGGTGGCCAGTGGACTGCCCTCACATGGTGGGATTCAGACAACCTGCACACGCCTCCAGGCGCTCTACAGAGAGCAGCCACCACCACACTCAGGTCAGTGTGGGGAAGGGCTGGGAGAGATGCCACAGCTCGCATCACGGAGACATCCATCCCGCAGGTGTCCACCTGAGGTCCACAAAGGACCACACACAAGGACCATGCAGGTCTGGTCACGTCTGCCAGCAGCACGAAAGAAAGGATCAGAAAAGTGCCCTGCGGGGTGACTGTGGCTACCCCAACTAGCTCTTGCTCACAAGGGAAGCAGGCCACAGAGGCAGAGGTTCCAAAACAGCCCAGCACAGCTTCCCGTGAGGCTGGCCCCATGGTGACAGCGACTCCGGTGACGGTGACGCTGTGAGGGAGGGAGGAGGCAGTCTCGGATACCTGTGGTGAACTCGGCAGGCCTCTTGAAGCGCGTCAGGAAGATGTGGCAGAGGATGTAGAGTGTTGCAAACAGGAGAGCCGAGATCTGTCAGAGTGTGAGCTGTGATGAGCCTTTCGGACCCTCAGCCACTGCCCGTCCCCCCCAAAGCCTCACCTTCCTGGCACACGGGTCCCTCCCTCAAGGGGAGCACTCCAGCTCCCCCTCTGGCACCTCCTTGCCACCAGAGCCTCAGGGACTATCCCACACCCCTGGGAAACACCACTACACCCAGCCCTACGTGGATTCCCCTGGGAGGTACATGGGTAGGGAAACTCCTAGAGCTAGCCATGCACACACAGCTGGAACAGGCCACAGAGCCTGGGGCGGGGCACTGACTGCAAGTACATGCGTAGGGAGGGAAGCAGCTTAGAGGGGAAGAAGACCTCTATGCCGCCCTGGCACCCCACCCTACCCCCACCCACGCTATCAAGTCAGAAGTTCCACTTGGTCGATTCAGGGACCCTGAAATATGAGGTCTGTCCCCCGCCAAGCCAAAGCCTCATGGAATCCCATGCCCTCATAGTAGACCTTCAGTTGGGACTCAACGTCTAGAAGCTTCCAGAGCCAGTGTCTACCACATTAAAAGCAATCACTCCCTGGGCTTTACCTTAAGTCACTTTCAGCTCCGAGGCTAAGCTATGCCTCTGAGTGACTCAACTTTCAACTGACAGCAAAGATACAATGCGGCCAGGTTAACCCACACGCGCATCCCTGTCATTATGGTTCACAGCAGGAGCCACTGGTCAGCTTGGCTCCACAGCCAAGGCCCAAGTCTTAAGATGCCACGCCACTGCACATAAGATGGACCAAAAGACAAACCCGGCTTCCCAGATTCAGTCTCCAGAGGGAAGGGATCCCACAGGGAATCTGCATTCCAAAGGCTACATAGGGAGGCCAGAGACCGGAGCCAGCCAAGGTCTGGGACAATGTTGTAGACCACAAGGAGACACGAAAAGGCACAACCAAGATTCCACAGCTGTAGGATTTTTACAGCCCCAGCGTTCTGTCCTGGACTTGCACAATCAGCAGCAGAAAGGCAGGAGGCCCTAAAGGTCTTTGTGGAGTTTCACGCAGTTCCAGTGCAAGGTTGTCCTGGGAGCAGGTGGAGGAGGTGCCCCAGGCCTTGAGACTGCCCTGGCCGGGCACTGATGCCCTCAACCAATGGGACTGAAGGAAAGAGGGAGGCACGCCCTCCTGCGGGTGTCCAAGTTCTGGCTCATCAACCTTCCCAGTTCTCCAGGAATGCCCGACTCCAGCCCTCCAGGCTCAAACCAGGGAGTGTCTTCACAGCATGCGGAACCCTAACAAGTGGGACTCCCACCCCGGCAGGCTTCCTGCAAACACACCTCCCCTGGAGTGTCCCACGTGTTCCATACAGACCGACAGGCTTTCAACTTCCCAGCCCTCCAGGCTTACTTTACTCCTCCAATCTGAGCGAGCAGAATGGAACCCAGCCTGAGAAAAACCAGGGAGGGCCCCATCCACGGGCGCCCCGCTCAACCTGCACTTCTCTGTAAGCCTCCGAACTTTCTCCTTTCCAGGTGGTATGTGGGGTTGGGGGCATGCCCCGTGGGGTCACGCAGCCGCCTAGGGAAGGACCTAGGTGGGAAGGCCATCCGGCAGGTGTCCTTGGGGAGCTGGGCAGCCCAGCAGGATGTCAAACAGCAAGGGGAAAAATCAGCCAAGCAGAAGCTCCCGGCCATCCACCCTCGTCGCTCATCATCAGAAGGCCAACAGTGCTACATGGAACCAGCCCTACTACGTGCTCGCCTCGCCAGCTGCCCCTACACCAGGAGTCCGGGAGATGCGCCGGCAGAGGTGGGGCGAGGCGACATCCTCCCCGAGCCACGGGATGGAAAAGGAAGCTGCCGGCCATCCCCCTCGGGCCCCCTGCAGACACTCGGCGCTCCCCACTCCCCACAAAGGGAGCCCCGGGGGAGGAGGGGCGTGCAGGGCAGGAAACCGAGCGGCTTTGTTTACCTCGCAGGGACAGCCAGCCGGTCCCCTCCCCGCCCCGGTCTCCCCCGCCCAGGTCCAGCAGGACTCCCTGGGTGCCCGGAGCCCAGGGGGTCTTCTCCCCACCGCGGGTCTTCCCGCACTCACGATGCACTCGCGGACCCGCTCGTGGAACAGCTGCTCTCGTACGGACAGCACTTCGTAGTCCGCCGCTTCCATACTCTGCTCAGCATGACTGGAGCGGGGGCGTCTCTGGGCCCGGGGAGGACGAACGGCGAGGGAGCCGCCGCCGCCGCAGACACCCGGATCCAGCAAGGAGCTTCTCCTCACAACCGGCGACGGAGACTCGGGGCCCGGAAAGGGGCAGGGCCCAGGCCGCCCGGCTGGGAAGGCCTCGGGCCCCTCTCCGCTCCCTCCCCTCTAGGGTCGGGTCGCGGCCGCCTCACGACGCCAACACCGGCCTCGCCGCCCGCTGCTAGGAAGCGCCGGGCCTGTTCCCTCTGTTTAAGAGGCCCCGTGACGACACAAGGAGTGGGCGGGTTTCTTCCAGGGGAGCGCAACGCATTGGCTCCCGGAGAGCTGCCGCTCATCGCTGCAGGGGAGTTGATAGGCTCGCTCTGCGCGAGGAGGCGGGGCCCGCCACGCTCCTCCTCCACTCGAGCCACCGCCTCTCTGAGGCCGCTGTGGTGTGGAGGCCTGGGGAGGGCGGTGATGGAAGGACCGGCCGCTGTGGAGGGGAAGGGCCGGCTCCCCGACCTGCCTGGGACGGCGGTGATGGAAGGACCGGCCGCTGTGGAGGGGAAGGGCCGGCTCCCCGGCCTGCCTGGGGGCGGCCGTGCTGGAGGGAAAGGGTCAGAGCGGCCGGGTGCTGCTGCTGCTGCTGCTGCTGCTGCTGGTGGTGGTGGTGGTGGTGGTGGTGGTGGTGGTGGTGGAGGTGGTGGTGGTGGAGGTGGTGGTGGTGGTGGTGTGTGTGTGTGTGGTGGTGGTGGGGTGTGTGTGTGTGTGTGTGTGTGCGCTGTGGAAGCGTCCACGGAGGATCCCAGCCAGCCATTTCATTCCCTCGCATCCCTTAGCATCGCGGCAGGCTGCTACTGTCAAAAGGGGGAGGTCACACAATTTAGATCAGCGGATGTCCTTGTGCCCTAGGATTTCCCACCTCATGGACTTGAACTCTTCCTTTAGACTGGGACGCTTGGAGGAAGGGCTGAGATTTGACAAGAGAAGAGTAAGAGCCCAGTTACAAAGATCTGTAGGTCTGAAAGACACTGAGTCAGGGCCAGGAGCTCTTAACTGCTGAATTCTGTACTCTTTTTAACTTCGAAGAACAAGTGAATTTGTTATTTTTTTCTTAAGATTTAAAAAAAAGGAAAAAGTTTTATTGGAAAGGCAGATTTACAGAGAGAAGGACAAACAGAAAGAGCTTCCATCCGCTGGTTCACTCCCCAAGTATGGGGAGAGCTGAGCCCTTTCCAAAGCCTAGAGCTTCTTCTGGGTCTCCCATGTGTTTGGCCGTCCTCCACTACTTTCCCAGTCCACAGGGAAGGAGCTGGATGGGAGATGGAGCAGCTGGACGTGAGCTGGTGCCCACATGTGAACCTGAAGGGAGAGGGTTAGCCAATGGAGCCATTGTGCTAACCCCAGGACAAGTGATTTTTAGCCAAATGCTTTGTAATTTCTCCCAGTGAGTTTTACTAATGCCTTGGGAAAAAAAACAAAAACCAAACAAAAAAACCTCGTGTTTCTCGTATATACAAAGTTCTTGTGAATCCAGCCCCACACACAGCACACACACATTATTTATATTTATTATTATTATTTTATTTTTATTGGAAAGTCACATATACAGAGAAGAGAGATAGAGAGGGAGATCTGTTCATTCACTCCCCAAGCAGCCACAATGGCTGGAACTGTGTCAATCCAAATCCAGGAGCCCGGAGCCTCTTCAAGGTCTCCCATGCAGGTGCAAGGTCCCAAGGCCTTGCCAGGCCACAAGCAGAACCAGTGCCCCTATGGGATCCCGGCACGTGCAAGGCGAAGACGTTAGCTACTGGGCTACCGTGCCAGGCCAAGCAATTTCCTCTTAACAGCTCCACTGCTGTGCTTGGGGAGAACAGAGATCTTTGCTGTGACAATGAGGACAGGTAGTGAGTGACTGGGTCCTGGCTCTGCTGCCAGCATAAGGGGGGAGAGGAAGCCTCACACCTATTGGATGCCTTCCAGGAACAAAAGGCCAGGGCCTGTCCTGGAGGAGTTTACACCTTGTCAACAAGAAGAGGCTTTGGGCCCAGCACGATGGCATAGTGGTTAAGGTCCTCGCCTTAAACATGCCAGAATCCCATATGGGTGCCTGTTCTAACCCCAGCAGCCCCACTTCCCATCCAGCTCCCTGCTTGTGGCCTGGGAAAGCAATTGAAGATGGCCCAAAGCCTTGGGACCCTGTACCCGCGTGGGAGACCTAGAAGAGACTCTGGGTTCCTGCTTCAGATCGGCACAGTTTCGGCCATTGAAGCCGCTTGGGGAATGAATCGATGGAAGGAAGATCTTTCTCTCTGTCTCTCTCTTATCTGTATATCTGCCTTTCCAAAAAAAAAAAAAAGACTTTGAATTTTATTTAAAAAAATAATCTTTTTTTATAAATCTGTTTGAAAAATGCACCTAGCTCAACCTGCCTTGGGGTGCAGTGGGATAAGCTGCCATCTGGATGTCAGCAGCATCCCATACTAGAGGGCCAGTATCCTGTCCCAGCTGCCTCACGCCCAGGGCAGCGTTATGCTAATGCACCTAGGGGTCAGCAGAGAGTGGATGACTGCATGGAGTTCCTGGCTCCTGGTTTTGGCTGGCTGAGATGTAGTTAGTGTGGCTGTTTGGGGAGTAACTCAGTAGAGGCAGACCTGTCTCTCCCTCTGCTTGTTACTCTGTTTTTTTGGTTTTTGTAAAGATTTATTTATTTATTGGAAAGTCAGATATACAGAGAGGAAGGAGAGACAGAGAGAAAGATCTTCCGTCTGATGATTTACTCCCCAAGTGAGCGCAAAGGCCGATGCTATGCTGATCCAATGCCAGGATCCAGGAACTTCCTCCGGGTCTCCCACATGCGTGCAGGGTCCCAAAGCTTTGGACCCTCCTCGACTGCTTTACCAGGCCGCAGGCAGGGAGCTGGATGGGAAGTGGAATAGCTGGGATTAAAACCAGCGCCCATATGGAAACCGAGGGCGTTCAAGGCGAGGACTTTAGCTGCTAGGCCACGCTGCCGGGCCCTACTCTGCTTTCTAAATAAATGTTTTAAGAAGTAGGTAACAGACTGGGTACTATGGCTCAGTGACCGAATCCTCATCTTGCAAGCTCCAGGATCCCTTATACAGTACTGCTTCATGTGCCAGCTGCTCCACTTTCCTTTCAACTCCCTGCTTGTGGCCTGGGAAAGTAGTCGAGGAAGGCCCAAAGCCTTGGGATCCTGAGGCCATGTGGGAGATGCAGAAGAAGCTCCTGGCTTTGGATTGACTCAGCTCTGGCTGTCCTGGCCAGAGTGAACCAGTGGATCCCATGTTGGTGGCAGCGACCCAAGAACTCAACGCCCCATCTGGTCCCTCCAAGGGTGTACATTAGCAGGAAACTTGGTAAGGAAACAGTAAGTTGCACATCGGGGTACAGGTATAACTGCTCCCACAGAAGGTGCAAATTTACTTTAAGATTCATTTGTTTGTTTCAAAGATAAAGTGACAGTGTGAAAGAGACAGAAATCTTCTATCCCCTGATTCACTCTCCAGATGGCTAGCACAGTCTGTCTAGCCAGTCCAAAGCCAAGAATCAGGAGCTTGGTCCCGGCGCGGTGGCGCAAGTGGTTAAGGTCCTCGCCTTGCACGCCCGGGATCCCATATGGGCGCCGGTTCTAATCCCGGCAGCCCCGCTTCCCTTCCAGCTCCCTGCCTGTGACCTGGGAAAGCAGTCGAGGACAGCCCAAAGCTTTGGGACCCTGCACCCGTGTGGGAGACCCAGAAGAGGCTCCTGGCTTTGGATCGGCATAGTATCGGCCCGTTGCGCTCACTTGGGGAGTGAATCATTGGACGGAAGATCTTCCTCTCTGTCTCTCCTCTCTGTATATCCGCCTTTCCAATTAAAAAAATAATAAAAATAAAATTAAAAAAAAAAATCAGGAGCTTGTTCCAGGTCTCCAGCATGGGTACATTTAGGCTGTCTTTGCTGGATCCCAAGTAAAGCATCTGTGTCTTAAGCAGGTGCCCATATGGGATGCCAGCCTTGCAGGTGGTGGCTTTACCTGTTAAGTCACAACACCAACCCCACGTTTCTATATTTCAAAAGAAGCTGGGGCCAGAGCCTTGGGGTAGCTGTCTCAGCTGCTTCACCTCTTACCCAGTTCCATCCTAATGGCCTGGGAAAGCAGTGGAAGACGGCTAACCCAATTCCTTGGACACCTGCATCCTAGTGGAAGACCTGGAAGAAGCTCTTAGCTTCTGGCTTTGATCTGGCCTAGCTCCAGCTACTGTAGTCATCTGGGGAGTAAAGCAGAAGATGGAAGATTTCTGTTTCTTTCTGTAATTCTGCCTTTCAAATAAATAATTTTATTATGAAAGTTTGAAATTGCACCCAGTACAGTGGCCTAGCAGTTGAAGTCCTTGTCTTGAACACACTGGGATCCTATATGGGTGCTGGTTCTAATCCCAGCAGCCCCACTTCCCATTCAGCTCCCCTGCTTGTAGCCTGGGAAAGCAGTCCAGGATGGCTCAATGCCTTGGGACCTTGCGCTCAAATGGGAGACCCAGAAGAAGTTCCTGGCTCCTGGCTTCGGATTGGCTCAGCTTCAGGCATTGCAGCCACTTGGGGAGTGAACCATCAAATGCAGCATCTTCCTCTCTGTCTCTCCTCCTCTCTGTATATCTGATTTCCAATTCATTTAAGGGGATGTATAGTAACTGTGTGATGAAGGCTATCATATCCAGATGTGAGGATACAATGCAATATGCATCTCTACTTCCAGACAAAGATGGACTCCCAATGAAACTGTTTATCTTGACAGTAGGATGCTGAACTCTGCCATTGTCCATGTCCTCAATGATGGCCATATGACTTTGTATGAAGAACTATACTATAGTAATGATATAAGGGAACTTAGTGATGGGAGAGGGAATTAGGGAGAGAATAAGGGAAATCCCAGGGCCTATGGAACTGTATCATAAAATGGTAACAAAAAGAAGTAAAAAAACAATTAAAAAAAAGAAATGTATATATGTATTTGTGTGTATATATATATATATATATAAAGAAAATTTTGTATATTTGATCTACCCAGGAGTTTATTATTTTTTTTAAGATTAATTTATTTTTATTACAAAGTCAGCTATACAGAGAGGAGGAGAAACAAAGAGAAAGGTCTTTTGTCCGATGATTCACTCCCCAAGTGAGCACAATGGCTGATGCTATGCTGATCTGAAGCCAGGAGCCTTCTTCCACATCTCCCA